TTCTCTATCCACCGTCTGGATGCAACCACCATGTCACCTCATCCTTTTCTCAAGTGGACGAACCGTGTTATGTTTTTCATTCTGTGGCTGGCACGTTGTCAGCATGTCAGGCTGCTGTGTTGGAAATCAGTGAGGCATTTTGTGGCAGGGTTTTTTTTTTTCTTTTTGTTTTGTGCATGTTATTGTTCAACTAGTTTAGTCAAACACAGTTAACTCATCCTTTGAGGAATTGGCCCAGGAAGTGACATAACTACTTGAAATGATCAAAACAAGCGGATTCCGGGATTTTTTGAGGGGGGGGGGGGTAGATATGATAGTCACACTCAGTCAAGTCACACGAAAGACAATGTGAAAATACAAAAATGGTTATGGAATTCCATTTTGGATGGAGTTGGAGATACTTCAAGCATGTCCATTTTGATCGTGATATGTGGCACAAGTAAAATAATAAAAATAAATGGATGTCGGGAAGGAAAAGACGAATGCATCGGTACCCGAGCAGCGGTGATTTTTCTCTTTTGTTGGACTGCAACTGAAATGAAATGAAAGCTTTTGATTGTGCCAAAATGTCCACTCGTAATGTCTAATCATGAGTTGGGAAGGCTGCATGTCAGGCTGAAAGCCCTGCAAGGTCTTTTGTTGTTTTACTATTAAAAAAATAATAATAATTGCACTGTAATTTATTAGTTTTTTTCAAAACTCTTTAGTTAGATCAAACTAGAAAAGGGAAGGGTGAATTAGGGGTATTTTTGAGACCTTCTTTTGATGTTGGATGAAACATTGTATTTTAATCATTCATTTTTGGACAGACTGATACACAGCCCTGTAAAACTTAATTGTCCACAATTCAACCACTTGCTCTTTTAGAGAATATTGGGATTTTTGTTTTTTTTTTTTTTGGTTTATCCCCTAAAAATAAAAAGGTGTCCAGTAAGAAAAAATATGAAATGTCTGAGTTATTTCGTGATTTGTCTTTCAAAGATCATTATTTGGGCGCACCAGTGGAAAAAATATGAAATGTCTGAGTTATTTCGTGATTTATTTGTTTTGCAAAGATCATTATTTGGGCGTACCAGTAACCAGTTAATTGTGATGAAAGTGTGGCAGCCGTTTAAAGCAGATACTTTGAATCCATTACAATGTCTTAAAACACTAATTGGAATACTAAATGCTCAATGTAAAAACTGTCAAGATCACTTGATGTCCAAAAAACAACATTTGTACAGATGTTAATTATTTCCTCTCCACAGGAGAAGCCTTACGTTGCTTGATGTTGGAGAACTGCAATAATTCAAAATGTATGTCGACATCTCAACATGCCCACTCCAACCTCTGAAAATATTCAACAATTGCAACAATATTTGGATTTGATAGACAAGTTTTCTCAGGTCACTTGATGTCAGAGAACTAACAACAATCAATATTCATCCAAAATGTATGCAGACAATGTTTATGTCCACTTCATTATGTACAATGACTTCCACGGTATTTTGGACATTATGAACGTTTTCCTCTTCATAGGCATCCATAAAATCCAAAGTATTTGGCTGATTGTTCTGGTATTTTCAAAGGTTGGAGTTGGCATCAGTAGTGATGTCCACTTATATTTTGGTGACAATTACTTGCAGTTTTCAGTCACAAAGCAATGATATGCTTAAGCATCATAGACCGGCTTGACATTCTAATTACAAATCCTCTCTTTAAATCCCGAAGCATAAATCTATTTTGAAACCCTCTATATTTTCTTTTTGTATCTATTGACTTTATTCATCCGCATTTAAAACTTGAAAAAAACAGATACAGTAATTAGCCACTTGTAAAGAATATGGAGAATTCTTTTGGTTTATCGCTTCAAATAAAAAGCTGTCAAGTCAGTAGAAAAAAAAAAATAACCAAGCAAAAAACATTATACATTAACATTTTTTTAATCACTTTTTTTTTGCAAAGATCATTATTCAGGTTCCACCAATGTTCAATAAATTAACTGTCATGAAAGTGTGTCTTTTGATTTGGGGAAGAAGAACAAGTCATGCAGTAAAAACACACACACAAAATAACCTGCAGCTCACAGTTGAAAAAAAAATGTTATTCTGAAGATTTTGCTTATCACCAGGCACCTGTTCACCCCCTCCCCGCTTTCTGTGGCTGTGTCCACTTAAGTGACACAACGTGCACACTTACACGTTTGCCACAATCAGCAAAAGTTCATGGTAACGCACAGTGATAACAAAGAAAAAAGTAATTTATCAAGTTGCAGATGCACTCTTACACACAAAGATGTGATTAGACAAGAAAATGGACTTGTGCATTTTGCCTTTGGCTCCATTCAAACACGGGACATTGGGAAGGTCAGAATAAGAAACATTAAGCCACATACACACAATTTGAATCACTTTTAAGGGGTTGATTTTGACTAAGCTCTACTGTATCTTTTTTGTCTTTTAAGGGGGACAAACTGTAGTGGATATCTTAACATGAAACAGTTACTTACATACTACTTCACATTAACTTAATTGGTGAACAGTATTTCTGTTGGGTTTGTGTTTTTAACATACCGCTCATTTTGAATCAAGATTAGAGATTTCGCTGGTGGCAACTCATTAGTGTGAACTTTTGGGTACTTTTCCATCGTTGACATTTTCCCCGTACTGGTCATTGAGCACACCATGTGGGCAAATACTGTACTTGGAATGAATTGGATGGATTCAAAAACATCCAACCTATTTCAGGTAGTTTCACTCAAAGGACTGCTTGTTTTTTTAAAGAAGTGCCAAACAATTAAACGCAGTAAGACAGATTTGTGTCCCTCCAGCTGCCAGTGACATCAGTGCATTGGTGAAGACAAGAGTTGAGGTGGGGAGGGAGGGGGAGTGTCAAACTACTTCTGGCAGCATGCAGATTTCAAGATGGCGGCGAGGACAGGAAGGCGTGTCGCAGAGGATGATGGGAATGACTTGGGGCGGCTTTGAAAAGCACCCTGAGTGGATGTCGAAAACAGGAAACAGAAAGTTTGTGGGGTGGGAATGTGTTACTGTTGTCTTTAATGGGCCTTCACTTTGGGCTGGGTGACTCTCCGCGCAATGCTGTATAACATTCCAAAGTTCTGTAGGGGCGGGGGAAAAAAACAAAAAACATTTGAGCACAAATCTTTATCACTCACTGATTTTAAGAGATTCCAATATGGACGTGGCTTACTTGGATGGCAAAATACATGGCGCCCAGGTAGGCAGCAATGCAGACAGCCAGCAGCAGGTCAAAGATGGCGGGCTTGACTCTAGTCAGGAGGACAGTTGAAAACAAACCGTGTAAGTATGGAACAATATTAGTGTGAGTGGAAAGTAAACTGAACAATACAATAAGATTTCTCTGTATTTGGGGGATGAAGTCATTTCATCGTTTTGTAGTCGGTCTGGTGTCAGTGACACAACCCCAGCGGGATGATGATCACCTGTAAGCATTCATGGTCTGCTTGAGCTGGTCGTAGAAGACAAACTCTGGATCCCTGCGAGAAGCACAAATGCAAAACTGTCATATTTACAATCAAATACAGTTCATTGCACACGTGGCTCTCAAAGAATTTGATTATTGTAGAAAAGTTCTTTCACTTCGGTAGTTCAAAATATGAAACTCATAGGTTCCAAGAACAACCAGCAAACATTTTTTTTTTCTTCGGAAGACTCATTTCTACATTAAAACTAGTCTTAGCGTTGCCTATTTAATATTCAGACTTCTTGATATGGTGAATTTGGAGTTTTCATTATAAGCTGCAATCATCAAAATGACATCTTTCTCTCTGTATAGTGAATCTATATGACTTTCATTTTGAATTAACCACTGAATTAAAAATTTCCATAAATATGATTGCAGAACTGCAGAGAGTCGGGTGTCTTTATCTGTATGATTTAAAAAAAAAAAACACTATTAGAATGTATGTAAACTGAAACTGCAGCTCAAACAAAACGAGAAAAATATTGGTGGTTATACTCAAACCTGCAATGAAAAAACCCTAGTATCAATGCACTTCCGTTAACTAATTGAGACATATTTTGGGTTCGTGTATCCTATTACTTGAAGGAAATGCGTTATTTCGCAGAAAGCAGGTGGTGGTCTTTACCGCTTGTCTGCTTTGATGTAATGTTTCTTGACATCCTTGAGGTAGCGGCCCACGTGGTACTCTAAAGTGGACACCACGCTGCTGTCCTTGTCCACCAGCTGGGCGGCCCGCGGCTGAGCCGAGAGCCAGTCCACCATGGCGGACAGGTGCTCCTCTTGTACCTGCTGGACGGAAGCACACATCATATACATCTCAACTCCAATTGTCATGTATGCAACGTAAAGATCATTAAAAAAAAAAATACACGTCAACCTAGCATCACTTAGGGGATAGCGTGGAGAGTCGCTGACGTGCTCACCATTTGTTCAGTGAAGATGTGCAGGTCGCCGGAGGCTCCCTGAGAGGACAAATGAAGTCACCGGTGACTTGACAGGCTATAAACAAATTCAAACTTGCAACAGGTGCGCCTCCATTCGCGCAGTCTCACCTTTTCTGTGAGGTTGTAGATGACTCGGGCTAGAGCCTCTGCCACCACCTTTGTGTTCCTGCTCAGCTTCTCAATGTCTACATGTGGCCTGGAACACACAATAAACACACAGTAAGGCCGTGTCCACAATGTGAGAGGAAAAAAAAATGGAGGCAATGAGCAAATATGAAGTACAGGGGGGCGATTTATGAGGTTCTCGACATCACGCTGTGACATTGTTTGCATAGCTACGTAAGAATACATCGTCACATGCCTCGGTCACTGCCATTTTTGATTTTTTTTAACACCATAGCCTACAAGTGTTTTCATACAGATATTTACTGTAATTATAACTTTACTACGGTGCTAGAATAGTTCAGTGACCAACTACAGCACCTTCTGACTTTGGGTTATGTCGCCACTGGTGTGGTTTTTACTATAACAAACAGTGCGCCTCAAATATAATCCACATTTTTTTTCAACAGAAAACAAAATATGATTATCTTTTAATTTTCATGAGACCTCACTGGCTTGTCTTTACCACAACACACCGCCAACCGTGCAGAGATGGCACCTATAAAGTGACCTGTTAGTGAGTGACGAGGCGTACAACAAAATAAAATACAAGGCGCATCATTCAAGTTCCAGGATTGACAACATTAGGATCTGTATTTTTTATATCTATTTCCAGGTGAAAAATTACATGCAATGAATTAGTTTCCACAGAGGCGTAAGACAATGTGGTCACGTGACAGAAGAAAGCACACACTGTACCTTGTTTTTCTTGTGATTGTCTCATATTTAAGTCCTAGAAATATTTGCCATTCAAATATTTACTGTAATTGTGTGTAATTAACTACTGCAGTTGCCAAGGTTACTTTTAGACCGCAGGACGATATAACAGGAATGCAGTACTCTACTTTAGTCACAACTAGGCTTGAAAAAAAAATGCAACATAAAATTCACCAATTCAAAATAAAGAATTCAATTATGAAATGGTTTGTGAGGAGGAGAGAGCACAGCAACTGAAAAGATGAGGACAAATTGTATATTCTGTTGTATATTCAGGATTTTAGCCATGATGCAAATGTCAATATTATGGTTATCCTGTAAGCCGAACAGGCCTCGTGCAGTTGTGAACCCACCCAGCAGGGGGCTCTCCTGCTCCGTAGCGAGGGGAGGAAGACACTGACCGCACGTCCATGATGCTGGAGCGCTGAGCCAGGCGGTGCGAGGGCAGGTGCGAGAGCGTGAAGGCCGGCAGGCGGCGGATCCCGAAGCGCTCGTGTTCCCACGCCAGCATGTCGTCAGCCAGGTTGATTTTCTTGTGGACCATGGAGAACTTCATCCCGGGGTATTGGCTGGCCGCCACCTGGCAGGAGAGGCGGGTCACCAAAATATTAGGAACACCTCTCGGTATGATGCAGTGTACTTGTTGGCTACTAAAATAATAGGAGAGTAAACACGTGACTGTCAACGTGCATTGGCACTTTCATTCAAGCCAGGACAACAGGGTGAGACGTCTTACCGTCTCCAGCTCCTTGAGCAAAGCATATTGAGGAGTTCCCTCTTTTGGAGGTTTGGATACGTGCAGGTGGAGAGCGTCTCCGTTGCCCAAAGTGTCAAGACACAGCACGAAGGCAACATTATCCTGGAGAAGACTAGAATCTACAGAGATAAAATAGAAATTTGAGGTGGGATCGGATGGATGGCTGCATAAGATAAGAAGATTAGACCTGAGGAAGAGTTGATGGAGGTGTGTACCTGTGTGGTCCAGATTGTCTTCTAGCCAGCGTTTGGTGCCCTGATAGTTGAACTTCCCCCCACCAGAAACAAAGAACAGCAGGTTGTATCTGAACACAAAAGAACATTTCACAATGAAAAGTTATTTTATGAAGCAATTCCATGGCACGCTTGACAGTAAATTACTGAGCAATGTGAATTGGCATCCACTTTCTCCTTCAGCTGTATCTTCCACCCTTTATTCTTTTTGCATTGTGCTACAAAGTTTATACGATTACTTTTTTTTGTTCAATAATGTGCGCTCCAGTTCTTTTGCTCGCTTGAAAGCTGGGTGGCTTCAAACAAAAGGTACTCTGTCCTAAATTGTTCAATACATGTAGATGCAAACTCGATGACATAAAAGCACGACTATTGAACTTTTGTCACATGTTCAAATCAGAAACCCAAATGTCTAAATTGAGTTGGATTCAAGCTGTGATGTTTCACATCAGAATAGAATCCACTTGGGAGCAAAAAAGCAATTTTTTTTACTTGAACCATGCAGTGTAAATCCAGCCTGATAGATTGTATAGCATATCTTCGGCCACACAGCATATTTGCCAAAGTCAGTTCTCAATATTTTGGGAAAACAAGACAAAAATAATGTTTAGAACACACACTGAACTAAGGTATACTACTCAGGCAAAATATCAGCTACACTGCCTGGGAGGTAAGAAGATATTTTTATTTAGGTTCATTTAAAACTGTACTGCACCCTACTCCTCAAAATAGGGGCTAAAGGTCAGCAAAATATTTTAGAAAGTACGAGAAATATAAGAAGTCTTTTGTGCCGGATTGTGCAAGTGGACGTAATTAAGTGTGTTTTGTGTATACTTAATCTGTTTAAATGTATGCTCACCCAGCATGTGTCCTCTTGTAGGTGTACAGTTTCGAGAAGAGACGGGCCAGCTCCAGTAACATGGAAACTCCGCTTCCATTTGAATCGGCGCCATATGACAGCCACTGCACATGGCATACAAATAGATGTGTTCGAGTACTATCCGACTACAATCTTACATATTTTCCAAAATGGTTGACATACCGGAGCAACTCCAAAGGAGTCGTAATGAGCCACCACCACGATTGTCGGTAGGTCCTCTCCTCCGACACCAGTCAAGCGGCCCTGATAAATAATAACACGTTATTAACTGGTGAGCGATTAAGAAACAAGGCAGACTACTGTCAGTTCAGTTACTCACTTCCAGACTGGTGATGGCCCAGTCACTCATCGCTTTGCTCTGAGCACCACTGGTGACCATTTGGAAGCCATTGGCTGTGGCCGTATGCAGCAATACTACAGAATGACAACAGCGGCAAGAAAAAGGACTTCTTCATATACTGAACGGACTGTAGCGTTATTCTTATTATTTTTTTTTATCATCACGAGGAGAGTCATGCCAACATGACATGTCTCTGTCAACGCAAAAATGCTCAAGGGCTGTGCAGATTAGAAAAAAAACAAAACTTGACTGTGAGTGTTTATACCTTCAGCTGCAGACAAGGCTCCCTGGGAGGAGGAGGAGGTCAGGGTTTGCGTGTAAATGGACAGCAGTTCGTCATCCTCCATGGCAAAGTAGACGGGGACGATGGTCTCTGTGGACAACATCTCCGGCTCGAGCTCCATGAATTGCTACCACCAAAACACAAGCACATGAGCATAAAAAAAAAACAAAAAATGATGACACATGATAACTAGCAAGAGAGCCAATTAAACATACTCGAAGTGAGGTCTTAATTAGTCACAACCAATGTATCATTCTTTACTGTGACAAACTGGAATGACTGAAGAAAGAACACAGTGAATCCTTTGTCAAATGCTTCAGAGTGGAGAAAAAACAAAAAAACACCTCCAAACAGAGCAGTCAGAAGATTACACGAGCAGTGCTGTGAAAAGCTCTTAAACTCCATAATCTAAAAGCAAACCACAATGAGCCGGTTTGCCTTTCCACATCCCATTAAAGATGCCAATTTTTTCATCTTTTTATGTATTGCTCGTCTGTATAAACATCACTGACACTGAATCGGGGAATTAAGTCAACTTATTTAAAATTCAGCCTAATTTTCTGATTGTGGGATGCTTTTTCACTGTGTGAAAACAACACAGTTGTTCCCCCCTTCGCTGGGTTCTATATAAAAGGCACAGAAGGATCAGGGATCTCTGTGTAAATGAGGCTGTTGACTGAAGCTAAGAAGTGAAGATGGAAGGGGGAAAAATATTTGCAAAACTGCTAAGAGCTGGGAGTCGAAGGAAAATTGAGAAGTGAAACCAATGGATCACAGCGGTGTCTATGTTGCAATATGCCTCAAAATATTCCCGTACCAACCTGTGCTTTTCTTCAAATGTATAGCAGTCCTGTTGTTTTGATAAAGTAATGTAACACAACATGTATAAAATAAGTGAGCACCTGCACTATGTCCTGAGGCATAGAAGACATGTTTTGAGGCAGGATGATGACCACAGCCCCTGCCGACTGGCGCAAGGCTTTCTGATATTTGTCATAGGAGAAGTCCACTAGTCGCATGATGACACAGCGGCGACTTAGCACCTCCGCCTCCACAGTACGAGCTTCGGTGTTCAGGATGGCATTTCTGGTACCTGAGGAATAGCACAGACAAGTTTACTTGTAACAGTCCAGTCTTAGATGACAGCAGCAGGATAAACTAGTGTCTGCATCACAGTTTGGAGGTTCAGAGTTCACATCTCAGCTCCTGCTTTCCTGTGTGGAGTTTGTGTTCTCCCGTGGCTTTGTGGGTTTTCTTACAGTTCTCCGGTTTCCTTCCACATTGACATAATCGAAGACTCCACTGTAACTCCGTTGAGTTTGAATGTCTGTTTATCAGGTGTATGAGCCAATCCAAGGTGCACTACACCTCGTGTCTAAAGTCAGCAGACCCTAATGAGGACCAGTTCCACATTCTCATCCCTCTATCTTCCATAGCGCTTGTCTAGTGCTTGATATAAAACACAGAAGCACAGGCGAGAACATGCAAACTCTACACAGAAAAAGTCATATTTGAGAGTCAAACCTTTAACCTTCTAACTGTGAGGCAGACGTGCCAACCAATTGTCCACCATGCTGCCAATTCCAAATATACATTCAATGTAAATAATGAAGAGGCTTTTATTTTATTGTTTATATTGATTGGTTACGTGGAAGGCAGATTCTATCAAATCAAGTCAATCATTTTTTAAACGTTGCTACCAACTAGCCCATTAGCATCGCGAGCTGCATTAGCTACAAGCTAACTCATGTGAACCCACTGCATGCCGTCACTTTAAAGCTAAATTGATACGAGACCGAACGTTAGCTAAAGGCGACATTTAGCTCCAAGATGGTGTACTTTTCGTATCGGAAAAAGTACGAGATTTCAAGGAGGTAACTGAGCATGAAGCGTATTGCGGCACATACCGTAAGGCTGTCCCTGCAGGTCATATTGCTGCATGCGATAAACCGTGAATTCATGTGCAGCTTCGGCCGGGAGTGGTGACACCAGGATGAGCACCGCCGGGATAAAAACGATGAAGGTGAGGGGGAAGGAAGATTTAAACATGTTGTCGAACACTTCACTCGCCTCCTCGAACATTTTGCCGACTGCAGTCGGATAACAGATGAGAATGAATTATAATTGCCGTCCCTGCTTGTGGTCTGACAGCTCGCGACGTAACCAGTCATTCGGTGTGTAGGACAATTTTGATCAGGCAAAGAGGTCGATACTTTAATTTATGTCCCAATTTAAAGATTTTATAATATTTTCGTATACGTAAATATTATAACAAAATATAAATACACATACAACAATAATGCTGATTTATTACACATTGAAGTGTGAAAAAGCATAATACGATCAATGGTCCTTCAGGCATATCAAGAACAGCCCGACTGCCCGTGCTGTTACTATACATCTTCACTTGGGGGCGCTAGGGCACCGCAATAACGACAGTGAGTGACAGGAGCTGGAGCAGGTAAGTGACCATCTGCAGCTGCTTGTGAGTGATCTCAATCAAGTTCAAGTTAAAGTTTTGACTGTTTGTCCAGTTTAATAAACAGCGGGAAGTAATTCGAATAAGAAAAAGACGAGAGGGTGAGTGCAAGCTGTAATTGTTGCAATTGTAAGCAAATTACACAGACAAAAAATACGAACTGGCTCTTAACGTAAAGAGTGTCCATTTACTCCTACATTCGAGGGAAAGTGGGAATTAGCCCTGAAAACGCAATACAGAGGTCCCCTGCACCCCGACTACGGTCTGTAGCCTCGAACTGGAACAACTAACAACTTCTCTCCAAGTGATGTTATCTCTGAACCAATGATTAAACACTGTACTGTAGCTGCAAAAACAAATGAATAAATAATGTAGTTGACAGCATTATTTTTATTCAGACAAATACGTCTCTAGCAATAGAAAATTCCATTGGGAGGTCATCTGTTCATTCCAAGGTCTTGTGTTTTGGGCCATCCAGTACAGTACTCTTCCATTTGTTTTAACCAGACTACAGAGACAGGCTGTTTTGTACAAGTAATGTTGCAATGTTATTGTTTGTGGAACTGTGAGAACACAGAAACAAGGAAATTTCCACATGTGTACGGTCATATTCTTGCTGATGTTGCCAGTTTGGCCTGCTGGTGCATTAAATGTCAGATATAATTTATCTGTGTACGAAGAATCCTCTTTTATTCCCTGCAAAATAAAACAAATTCTCTGATTGCCTCCTGGCCTTAAGAGCAGAGATGTCAGTTTATCCAATCAAATGAAATCACTTCATGGTATTTGTTGGGAGAAAAGTAGAAACCGACGGTGATACATGCCGCTTGGTGCACAGAGAGTGCAGACAATCTGGCTTGTTCTTGATCACAGTTCATGGGAACACTAAAGTGAATTTGTTCGTGACCTGATGAGACCTTCCCATGTAATAGCCTCATAAGAAAGTCATAAAAGTCAAATGCCCGAGTCCTGGTTGGGAAGAGCTGAGAATCACATTTTCTCCTTCTCCGTCGTTCTGTCTGTCCTCAGGCTGCTCTGCTAAGTGGAAGATGAATGCTGATATGCTGTCCTGCCATCCCACTTAATGGAGCTTGGCGTCATGGTCTCCTGTTGTATGAGTAATCCATTCAGGTTGGTGAGAGGTGTGGTGGAAAACAAAGCACAAAACCAGTTTAATGGGGCACGTTGAAACCGTCGATTGTAACAATTCCGCAAAATTGAGGAATGCTTCTCAGCATAAAGACAAGTACAGACACCCTTCAGCAGAGGAAATATCAGTAGCTACAGCACTACTACTACTACTGCTAATAATGATAATAACAATTCCTTGTGAGAATGGGACGGGGCAGCACAGTTGACCAGTAGTTATCATATCTGATTCAGAGTTATGTGTTTCAGAATTCAAATCTCTTTTTTTTTTCTCTCCAAAAAACACACATGGTAGGTTCACCCAAAAGTCTCCACAGGTGTGAATGGTTGTTTGTCTTAATGTTCCTCACCATTGACTGTTGACCACTGTTGCACCCCGCCTCTCGGCCAAAGTCAGGTGGGATAGCTTCCAGCTCACCCGTGACCCCTAATTAGGACAAGCGTCAAAGAAAATGAATGGATCGATGGACACTATCCATTCAGTGACAACGGTTGTCTTCCATGTTATCATGCTCCGACTCTGTTTGATGCAGCCTGCAGACTTACTGTTTTGTTGTGTGTGAGCAGCCAATGCGTTTTTGCATGCAGGCTGCCCATATTTATCCTTTAATTGATGTCCATCTATCCATCCATTTATCCATTTTCTAATCAGTCTATCCTCACGAGGCTTGCTGGAACCTATCCCAACCCTGAACTGGTTGCCAACCAATCGCAGGGCACACATAGACAAACAACCCTTCGCGGTCACACTCACACCTAGGGACAATTTATAGTGGTCCATTAACCTTGCATGTTTTTTGTGGAATGTGGGAGGAAACTAGAGGACCCGGAGAAAACCCACGCAGGCTGGAATCGAACTCTCCACCTCTGCACGGTGAGGCAGACGTGCTAACCCGTTGTCCACTGTGCCGTCTAATTGTTGAACAGTAGTATGAAATCAGGTTTTGTTAAACGATGGGTGTGTGCACTGAAAATTGCATAAGAATTAGGGACTGGAATGTACCGGCCCTTCTGCAGTCATCCCCATTTTCCCAATCGCCACCACGCTCCATTTCCAACTGACCCGCAACCTCAATCAAGGCACACACCATAGAAAATGGATGGGAGATTTTTTTTTTGATTGTCACAGAATGTATAGAGAGTAGAGTCATGGCTTTTGGTGCGCACTACAGTGACACACAATGCCTAAGCTGTTCACTGTCTTCCTCATTTCTTTCTGGGAACGTTACCCCATTGCCCCTGAACCCATAGATGACAGAAACACATCCTCTGTGTGTCCACACAAAAGAGTGAGTCAGTGTGTGCATGGGTAAATGCTGCGGATTAACAAGGAATTAGCGACCTGGCGGAAAGCAATTTTGTGTTTCAGTATCACCACTCCTTTTTTTTTTTTTTTAGTCTCTCCTTAAATTCTCTAAAGATGTTGTCATTTGATCACCACTCTGGCACGTTGCTAAAACCCATCATCAAGTCACGCAATCCTGAAGATGGAAGAAGCAATACATTCTCACACCATTTAATCCCCTTGTTGATGAGCAGATAGCTGCAAAAAAATCTTTCTTCATCGATAAATGTGTGACACAAGTGTCACTAGTGAGCCAGTCAGATTTTCTTGCCACAATTGAAGACAACCACAATGCATCCCACGCCGCAGCTAGTGTGGAAATTGTTAAATTACATAATCGATTTCATCAACAATTTCATCAATTCTTGTCAGAAATGTCTCATAATAGAAGCATAGGTGATAAAAGTTTTAGCCCATGTTGACATCTCAACATCTGGTAATTTTTATTCGACAAGACATATAGGTGACACTCTACATTGTCCCTCGATGTGAATGTGAGCACGGATGGTTGTTCATCTATGTGTGCCCTGCGATTGTCTGGCAACCAGTTCAGGGTGTACCCCGGCGACTGCCTGAAGACAGCTGGGATAGGCTCAAGCACACCCCGCAATCCTTGTGCGGAATAGCGATCTGAAATTGGATGGATAGATGGACATATAGGTTTGAAAAAAAGCAGTAATCAATGTTGATACTGATCAGTGGAATTATGGAAACTTATTGCAATATGTATACAGATGTCAAGATTAAGGTTTAAAGCCATCGATACTGGCCATTAAACTCTTATTTTATGTGGCAAAAGGGATGTGACATTTATATCCCCCTATCCCCGCACGCACGCACGCACGCACACACACACACACACACACACACACACACAAATCAATCAAAATGATTGATTTGGATATGTCCCTATAAATAGAAAAATCACATTTTCCTGAATTGTGATTTCCAGACATAACCTAATAATGATGGATGTTTGTGGTGAGACAATGACCGCTTCTCATGTATAGAAATATCTCTTCTTCATGTCGTCTTTTTACTTATATGTGTCCTGGGGCCCTCTAGACTCTAGAGTCTAGAGGGTCCTGCTTTATGCAAAGCAGCCAATTGATATCGCGATTCATTTCAGTATTGCCAGTGGAAATAAGACAAGGAGAAGAATAGAATATAGCATATGATAGGCCGAAAGGTGATCTTGCTGTGCCAGGCAACAGTCAGATAATGGATGGCAAAGTCTCTTTCGGAGCCAGTCCATCCATTAAGTTTTGTTAATATGCTCAGAGGAGGTTGGCATGCCTCATCTGCCTTCATATTCACTTCCAAAGACTTTCGCTTTTTACAACTAGTGCTTTTTCACATCTACCGCTATCTCTCTCCTCCCATTGTCTGTCTTAACTGCTATTACATTTCAGTGGCTCTCATTTCAGGACGTATTCATTTCTTACCTCTATTTCATTGCACAAGTAGCAGTACATACTGTATAGTCTTTGAAAACTATCTCAGGAGGATTTGTGCAAGACCAGCCGAAAGGGAACTTGCGAAAGATGCGCACACGTAATGACTGACTGTCAGGAGCGTGTTGTGAACTGTACATTTAGTGGGTGGAACATCGAGAAAATTCGTGAATGGGGACATATCCATACGTAAGTGTGTGTTTCGTACATCTGGAGCAATGGCATGACAGGAAGGCAAGAGTGAGGCTGCAGTGAAGCGGGTTTTTGTGATGTTGATCTATAGTGTAGTTACATATAGGGCCAGTAGGATAAGAAGTGCACTATCTGAAAAAAGGTAATGGGCAGAGTAGCTAAAAATTGAAGTCAAGCGAGTACTGCTACTCTAGAAGAATATGACTCAAGTAAAAGATATTTATAATCCTTTGATGGGTATTTGACAAATGGTGGAGCAACACATATAGACAGATCATATAACACTATTCTCAGATATATATATTCTTTATCCTTTATGAAGAACAAATATGATTGCAGCTCACTGAGGAGCTCAGCTGAAACTGCTGCATGGACTCTACATTACCATACAATCAGAAAAAAAACCCACCACTTTGTTTCTTCCATTTGTTTTTCATTTTAATGCCTTGTACCACTAAAGCTATTTTACCTGATGAATACAATGAACAAAACAAAATATAGCTGAGTCATAATAATTTGTTCTTTGTCCGATTTGACATGCTCAAGCTTAATTGTATTCACAGTCAACCATAGAAA